ATGAGAGATGGGAGATCCATGGATGAGGGAGTCATGAGAGATGAGAGATCCGTGGACGAGGGAGTGATGGAGAGATGGGAGATCAGTGGACGAGGGAGTCATGAGAGATGAGAGATCCGTGGATGAGGGAGTGATGAGAGATGGGAGATCCGTGGATGAGGGAGTCATGAGAGATGGGAGACCCGTGGACGAGGGTGCCGGCTGTTCTTTCTGCACAGCTTCTTTTCCCAGGACCCACGGCGAACAGCACAGCCCCAGGGGACCCAGTGTCCTCACGGTCTCGGGCATCTGCACTTGCACGCATAGATCCATACCCAGACACGTACATGTATACATAGTTAAAAATAAAAAGTCTTTAGAAAAATAGCCAGATGTGGTAGTGCAGGCCTAGAGACAGATGGATCCCTGTGAGTTTAAGGCCAACCTGGTTTACATATCAAGTTTCAGGCCAGCCAAAAAACAAAAACGAGTTAATAAAATTTATTATTTGTGTGTCCCTCTCGGTGCAGGAGAATGCATGCCGTCATGCACGGGTGGGATCAGAGGACGACTTTGTGTGCTTGGTTCTCCCTTTCCACGTTCGTGTGGTTCCAGGGCTCACACTCAGGCGCTTCGGCTTACACAGCACCTCTACCCACTCAGCTACCTCACCAGCCCATTTTAACTTCTGATAAGGCAAATTTTGATAGAATCCATGTGAAGAAAAGATCTCTGAGGTCTTCAGTCATTTTCAGAGTATAAAGAAATGCTGAGATGCCCACCACCCTCTTCCTCACTGTAGCCCTTCTGGTGAAGCGTTTCTTTTTTTTTGGTACCCAGGGCTGCCCAGGTGTTGGATAAAGCCCTCTAAGGCTGCATGCGCTACATTCCCTGTGGCCACCCAGTCTCTTAATTCCTAATGTTCCTTACTGCCTTTCTCCCATCCTGGAAACTGTCCTGTCTACCTTTTCCAATTCCTTCTCAGAGGAAAGAATTAATCAGTCTAGTTCCTGATTAATTATTTTCTGCAACGTAGTAAAGCCAGGAGGAATAATTATGGGGTAGCAATGTTGAAGCTTGGTGGGGGAGGGGGTGAATCAAAGGGATGTGAGCTAGGTGGGGCAGGGCCCCCTCTCAGCTGGGCTTTGTGGGTGGGGTAGGGTGTGGGAATGGGTGGGTGGGCTTTGTTGATACCACCTTCAAACCGGACTCTAACATCTAGGGCAGGGAGGGTTCAGTGTGACCTTGGGAGGCGGACAAGCTCTGAGGGGATAGACAAAAAAAAAAACAAGGAGAACTGAGAACAGCTTGAGCTAGAGGGAGGGAGGGGGGCAGGAGGCAAGGCGACAGACACAACTCTAGACAGGCAGACAGCTAGGCTGGGTTAGCAAACACTGAGAGAACAGGAGACCCTCAGGGCAAGCATGGGCAGGATGGAGAGCTGTTGCACCAGGCAGGTGAATCTCTCACTTTTCCACACCCCAGATTATCTCACTGGCTCTGTTTGTTTAAGAGTTCCTCCCTGCCTTTGGCCAGGTGTGTTCTGACTCCTGACTCGGGGTGCAGATCACTTTCTCCCAGACTGCCGAGCTGGTTCTGCCATGGGCCCCTCCAGCGCCTTTCTCGGCATCCTGTTCTTCTCTGGGGCACTGGGTAAGGGCAGCCTGGGGGATCCACAAGGGGCCGAGGGCTGGAGTGGAGAAAGGAGAGGGAGCCGACAGAGGTGAAGAGAAATGGGGAGTTATTAGGACCCTGGAAGGCTGAGGCAGGAGGGCCTGGGCTGTGTAAAAGTCTCCTCAAAAGGCCAGGGGCAGGGGGAGCATGTGAGTAACTATCTCTTTGAGTCTTGGATAGTCTTTATTCCCATCCTTTGTCTCTCACTTAACTTTTGCATCTCTCCTTCCTGCGCCTGGGTCTGGCTCTTTGCAGCACTCTGCGGGCTTGCTTCTCTTGGCCTCCCTTCTGTCTTTCTCTCCTGAAGACTGTATCCCTCTTTCTTCTGCCTGGTTCTTTGCCTGCACCCTGTCTCCTTCCTTGGCTGTTTTATATTCCTGTCTGCTTCGATTTTATGACTTGCTTCTCCCTCCTCTGGGTGTCCCCGAGGTCTGGTTTTGCCTCCTACCTTCTCCTCCCCGAATTGATCTCTGCCGACCCAACAGGTCTCACCACCTCCCCAACCAGAGGACGACTCCACTGCTACACCTGCGGCTTTGCTAAGCCCTGCTACCCTGTCCCCACAGAGTGCCAGGAAGATGAGGTGTGCGGCATCAGTGTTGGCACCTCAGGTAAGGTCTGGCCCCATGGCCCTTCTTGGGGTGGCTCCTCGCCTCTGTCCTTTCTGCCCCCCAACCTCCGTGTTCCTCCTTTGTCCCACAGACCAGAAGGAAGAGGTCATCGAGCGGAGAGGCTGCCTCCCTAGGGCCCACTGCCCCCTGCTGGGCCGTGCCACCTACTGGTCACAGCCCTATGCTCTCCGGCACCAGTGCTGTGAGCAGGACCTGTGCAACGCGGCCGCCTCCCTGCCGGGACTCCCACGCCTGTCCCTCACCACCCTGTCACTTCTTGCAGCCATCTTCGCCTGGGGAGTCCATATCTTCCTCTAGCCCGTGAGCCCATGTCAGCCCAGGACTCCGATGTTATCGTGGACCTGGAAACATCTGCACAGATGTTTTTGAGGCATGCTCAAGAATGTGACTTTGCATAAAAGGCCCTGGCCCTTGAGGGTTTTTATACCAACATCTCTACAGACCCCCTCCTAAGACCTGATTCCTACAGCTGGAGTTTCCCATCCCAGCACGCATGTGTCCAGAACCTCGCCTCATAAGAAACCCCCGCTGTCTTTTCTCTCGGTGTCCCAGGTCAGCTACCCTGAAGGAGCCGTGGGTCCCAGGTAAAGGGACAGAAGTGGCCTGGGACTGGTGAGGGGTAGAGTGCTGCTAGCAAAGACGTAACTGAGTATCTGAGGGTCTCAAGAATGGAAGGCTGCCTTGGGGAACCATAAAGAGTAGATTTAGCAATAGGGCTATTGGGTGGAGATGTAGCTCAGTGATAGAGTGCTTGCCGACCATACACAAGGCCCTGGGTTCAATCCCCTACACCACCAGAACAAACAAATAAATAAAATGTAAAAATAGGGCTGTCTTTGAGCCCCCTGACTTCAGTCGCGTGTAGTGTGGTGGTGGTGAAACACACGAGGGTGAACTTTAAGAATAAACTCTACAGGGCAGAGTAGATGTCTCCCTGGGTACCAGCACATGTACAGGCATAAGAACCTGGTTTTGGATGCCAGCACCCACTTAAAAAAGCTGGTCTTTGGGCTGGAGAGATGGCTCAGCGGTTAAGAGCACTGGCTGTTCTTGCAGAGGATCTGGGATTCAATTCCCAGCTACCAGCATGGTGGTTCACAACCACCTGTAATTCTAGTCCCAGGAAATCCCACACTCCTTTCAGGTACTGCACACAATGTGGTGCATAGACATGCATGCAGGCAAAACACCAGTACACATAAAATAAGAAAATAAATAAATAAAATCAAAAGCCGGGTGTAGCTACACAGCAGTGCTTGTAACCCCAGTGCCAATGAGGGGCAGAGACGGGAGGATCTGTGGGGCTTGCTGACCATCAGCCGAGCTCCAAGTTCAGTGAGAGACCCTGCCTGAAAGGAGCGAGACAGAGAGGAAGGAACGGGACATTTGGTGTCTTCCATGCATGCATGGGTGTGCACACATGTGCACCCACACATACACAACACTCGCACACACAGGAACGAACTGTAGCTGCCTCGTGGGTTGGACTGGCACACTGGAACCCGAATGGTGCCCCACACCCAGTTCCCCTCTGTGTGGCTGTCATCCTCTTTCCTGCCAACGTCTGAGCCTGCTGCAGCGTGAAGGCTGCAAGTGAGGATCCCAAGGCAGCTGCTCTCTCCATTGAGAGCCAAGCCCGGGACAAGAGTCAAAAAGGGACACCTGGCCGAGCTGCTTGAGAGGGTGTGGCCTCGCTCCTGGAGGCTGGGGACTGACTGCTTTGGAGCACTTCGCCGGGCCAGAGCTGTCCTCTGTTCAGAAAGCCTGGAAGTACTCGCTCCACTGGGGATCTGTCTGCCAGCCCTTGAATATGCTTCCTCTGCCCAGAGATAGCATGGAAACCCCCGAAACCCCGGGTGCAAGGGGCAGGGCTCCCAGGGAGTCAGAAGTGATAAGCTGCTCGTGCCGGACAGAGACCCATAGAGGAGCGGGTGTGCTCCTGGGATAAGGACAGCGTCCTGCTAGGGCTGAGGACCTGCATCCCCCTTTGGTCTTGAGTTCCTCCTGTTCCATCTGAGGAAGTCTGGGGCCTGATTAAAGGTCTTGTTCCCTCTCAACGTCTCTTTGTGAGAACACCGGGAGGGGAGGTCTGGTTTACATTGGAGGCTTGTTGAATCTTCTGTTTTCTCTGTTCCCCTAATCTCCCATTTGGGGTTCCTGTTTTCCCCCACTCTGCATCTGAGTCTCTCAGCTTCTCTCTTCCTTGTTCCCCACCCCCACCCCCCACTTATCTTCACAGCTTCTCCACCACTTCTCAGGTCTCTGGGCTTCCCTGCCCCTCTTGCCCGCACCAGACTCCAAACCCCACAGGACATCCCACTCCGGGTCACTCCTCTACGGGCTGCTTCAAGACAGGAGACCACACCTTTTGTAGGTGACGTCACAGGCTGATGTTACTCCCTTCCTTATGCCGTGCCGGGGCCCCTCCAGCTTGGTGGCTGTTGGAAGCCAAGAGGAAGTAGAGTCCCACCCTCAGCCCCACCCCTCTCCAAGGTTTTCTGGGAGTCCTTCAGGTGCCAGATGCCAGAGACACACAGGACAGCAGGCCAAGCTTTCTGAGGCAGA